TGTCCCACACCGTATGAAGGAGAACAAAAAAAATTAATTAAAAATTAAATCAGGGTTCACACAGACTTGGTGTACAAACACCAAACTACCCGTACTTGTAAACAAGCTGGCCAAGCATCTGGCCTGGAAGGAAAACAGAGCCCTGCTACATTTAGCACTCAGGTGAAGGAGTGCAAAAAATAAATACAAGAAAAATAAGAATAAGGGGAGTAGTATGAGCAGCTGTCACTGATTGCAGTGTAAAAGGGACAAACGTAAGGCTTGTCCAAAGTTTGAATATAGTTTAGGAAAGTGACTACAAATACCAAAACAAAGAGAAAATACATAAATGTGCGCAAAGGTTTTTCCTGGTCTTATCTTACAGTCAGTCACTGTAATAAGGAAAACATAAAAAGGTCATTATTTATGCATATCCCTATTGTGAATTAACAGTGTATCCAGCAAGATAAACATAATTCTTATCTCAGTGACAAAGAACTAGCAGAACTACAACCATCACATCTGATTGCCTGTTATCTTTGACCCCATATAAAATAAGAGCCAAACTTCACGTTTTCTGGGAAAAACAAGTCACCCAGCATTAGAGGTAGTGAAGACACTAACGTAAAATAGCACACTGTCAATTAACAATCTGTAAGCACATGATTGCAATTTACTTTCGGAAAATAACTGCAAAAATTCACAACAAATACAAATTCAGAGGAAAAAAGAAGCACATTGCCCCAAAAAGTTTGAATTATCTCTGATAAAGCAAAACTGACCTTTGCACGCCAGAAAAATATAAAATCTAGGGTCTATCTGTTTCAGGTTTGCAAACATTTGCTTGAAGGATATACGGGTAAATTAATATCAAAGTGACAATCAGAACGGAGGTTATTTTATTTTTTACAAAAAAATATTTCTTAGAAAAACTAAATTTTAACCCAAAAATACAGCTGTCACGAGCAAATGCTTGTTTTAATGTGACTAGTAGTCCAACCTGCAATTCCTCTAATATCACATTTATATAAAGAATAAAGTAAGAATAACACACTACATATGAATATCTTTAAGGGTTTAACTTTAGGGAATACGCCTTAGCCTTTCCCCAGTCTGAATAGTTTAAAATGAACAATTCATAGCATTCAGCAAGTATAATGATTTATAGATCATTTTGAATGTTTTAAACAATAAATTGCATCAATGAAACAATAAAAGTGATGTAAAATGTGATGTATCTAAAGTGAAAGCTGAGCCAGTGATATTAGTTAATCTGAATAAATATTAAACTGTGCTCTCCCCTTTATGTTGGCTGTCAGATAAAGTCTCTGCCTGCAGAGTTGGGAATCCCACAAAGCAGTAAATAAAGATAATTCAGGCTGTGCAAATTAAAGTTTACAACAGACACAGGCTACCAGTGGGCACCTTAGTGGGCAACACAGAGCCCCTGCACCCACCGATAGGAATCTACGAGCTGGGCACCTTAGTGGGCAACACAGAGCCCCTGCACCCACTGATAGGAATCTACCAGCTGGGCACCTCAGTGGGCAACACAGAGCCCCTGCACCCACCGATAGGAAATAACCTGCTGGGCACCTCAGTGGGCAACACAGAGCCCCTGCACCCACCGATAGGAAATAACCTGCTGGGCACCTCAGTGGGCAACACAGAGCCCCTGCACCCACCGATAGGAAATAACCTGCTGGGCACCTCAGTGGGCAACACAGAGCCCCTGCACCCACCGATAGGAAATAACCTGCTGGGCACCTCAGTGGGCAACACAGAGCCCCTGCACCCACCGATAGGAATCTACCAGCTGGGCACCTCAGTGGGCAACACAGAGCCCCTGCACCCACCGATAGGAAATAACCTGCTGGGCACCTCAGTGGGCAACACAGAGCCCCTGCACCCACCGATAGGAAATAACCTGCTGGGCAACAGAGAGCCCCTGCACCCACCGATAGGAAATAACCTGCTGGGTACCTCAGTGGGCAACACAGAGCCTCTGCACCCACCGATAGGAAATAACCTGCTGGGCAACAGAGAGCCCCTGCACCCACCGATAGGAAATAACCTGCTGGGCACCTTAGTGGGCAACACAGAGCCTCTGCACCCACCGATAGGAAATAACCTGCTGAGCACCTTAGTGGGCAACACAGAGCCTCTGCACCCACCGATAGGAATCTACCAGCTGGGCACCTCAGTGGGCAACACAGAGCCCCTGCACCCACCGATAGGAAATAACCTGCTGGGCACCTCAGTGGGCAACACAGAGCCCCTGCACCCACCAATAGGAAATAACCTGCTGGGCACCTCAGTGGGCAACATAGAGCCTCTGCACCCAATAGTATCTACCAGCTGGGCACCTTAGTGGGCAGCACATGAAGCCATGCTTGAGATGCCTGGTACATCCTGGGAAAAGGAGCATGCAGCGGGCAGTCAGGATCCTGCAAGGACTACTCCTTCAGTACTGAGTGCACTCACCTTTCAAACTCCGGAGGTAAGTCAGGGTCAGTGAGCATTGCTGATACACACAGTTTCCCTTTGTCACAGCAGCAGCCACCTCTAATTCCTTCCTCAGATCCTGACAAGTGAGTGCAAGCCTGGTCCTCCTGGTCTCCCCTCTCTCTCTGTCTCTCTCTCTCTCTGTGCAGCTCACACTGACACACACACACACACTCTCTCTCACACACACAGGACTCCTTGACCAGATTCTTAAAGGGCCAGCTCACCAGGAGCAGACTGTGTGCAGAGCTCCCCTCCCCTCTCTGAGAAGCTCAGCCTTCCTCCAGCTCCACTCTCTGCCACTGGCAGCTAGGAGCCCCTCAATCCAGGAGGAGTCCCAGTCAAACGGCCCGGGGACTCTCTGCAAGGGGAGCTTCAACACACAGAGCTGAACACACACACACACCGAGAGATGGGGGGGAGACACACACCGAGAGATGGGGGGGAGACACACACCGAGAGATGGGGGGAGACACACACCGAGAGATGGGGAGACACACACCGAGAGATGGGGGAGACACACACCGAGAGATGGGGAGACACACACCGAGAGATGGGGAGACACACACCGAGAGATGGGGAGACACACACCGAGAGATGGGGAGGGAGACACCAAACCGAGATTGTATTGGGGGGAGGGGTGGCGACACACACACCGAGATATGGGGGGAGACACACACCGCGAGATATGGAGGGGAGGCTGGCAGAGAACTGGGACACACACCGAGAGATGTGGGCATGATGGCCCTTGAGTTACCGGAGAAAGTAGCGCTCACCAGGTTCCACCCAGGGGGTGGGACACTCATCGTCCCACCCAGGAGAGAGAGGGGGGACTCACTCTGGGTCTCACCCAGGAGGGCACCCAGGAGAGCGGGGTGGGGGCACTAAATGGCCCCACCCAGGGTGGGGCACCCCAAAGGGTCTCACCTGATGGGTTGGGGGCACCCCACTGAAAGGTGGGATGTCACCTACCGTGTCTCATCCACCAAAGGGGAAGGACCACACCCCAGAACCGAGGGGGCTTACACCCCGGACTCGGCCGGAGAAGGGGGGGCATCTCCTCGACCTCACGAGAAGGGGGGGCATCACCGAAGGGGGGGCGCCACCTGTCTCACCGGTAGCTGGGGCGGCCACTCGGTCTCACGAAGGCCACTCGACTCACGAAGGGGGGGCGCCACTCCCCGGACCCGCCGAGAACGGGGCCACTCCCCGGTCTCGGGCTGAGAAGGGGGGCTACACTCCCCGGTCTCGGCCGAGAAGGGTGGGGGGACACCTCTGGGTCTCGCCATGGAGGGTGGGGATGGCCCCCTGCCCACCAACGGGGATGTCACTCTGGATCTCGCCAAGGAGGTGGGGATGGCACTCACTGGGTCTCGCCAAGGAGGGGGGAGGACACTTCCTGAGTCTCACCGATGAGGGTGGGGATGGCACTCATTGGGTCTCACCCACCAACAGGACACTCCCTGGGTCTCGCCAAGGAGGGGATGACGACACTCACTTGGTCTCGTCAAGGAGGGGGTGGGACACGCCCTGCGTCTCGCCAAGGAGGGGGGGGGACACGCCCTGCGTCTCGCCAGGAGGGGGTGGGACACACCCTGTGTCTCACCAAGAAGGGGGTGGGACACGCCCTGCATCTCGCCAAGGAGGGGGTGGGACACGTCCTGCATCTCGCCAAGGAGGGGGGACGACGACACTCACTGCGTCTCGCCAAGGAGGGGACGACGACACTCCCTGCGTCACGCCGGGGCACCCCCGCGCGCCTCACCAAGGGACGACGACACCCCGCGCCTCACAGTAGACAACGACAACACTCCCCGGGCGGCCTTGTCAAGGGGACGATGATGACACCTCGCGCCTTGCCAAGGGGGACGGTGGACACCCCCGCGCCCTCTCAAGGGGACTGACACCCCCGCGCCTCGGCCAAGGTGGACGGACACACCCCCGCGCTCCCGCCAAGGGGAAGACATCGCCTCCCGCCTCTTGCCAAGACGGATCTATGATGACACACCGCATCTCAAGTTGAAGGGGGGGCGACACTCCCCCAAGTGCTCCTCACAAAGGGGGAGACATCACGCGCCTCAGCTGGGAAGACACCCCCATGCCTCTCAAGGGGGGAAACACACTCTCCAAGGCTCCTCGCCAAGGGGGAGACACACTCCCTGCGTCTCGCCAAGGGGGGGGGGAGACACACTCCCTGCGTCTCGCCAAGTGTGGGGAGACACACTCCCTGCGTCTCGCCAAAGAGGGGGGAGACACACTCCCTACATCTTGCCAAGGGGGGGGGGTGACACTCCCTGCGTCTCGCCAAGGAGGGCGGGGGCACTCACTGTACTCGCTAGGTCGTATGTCTAGGACTCACTAGGTCTTATTCCTACTCGCTAGGTCTCAGTCCTGGGAGAGAGTCACTCACTAGGTCGTATTCCTTGAAAGGGGTCACTCATTTGGTCTCAGTCCTGGGAGGAGGTCACTCACTGAGCCTTATTCACTAGGTCTGACACTGTGGTGTGGGAGTAACTCACGGAATCTCTACGAGTAGTATACAGGGTCTGAGTCTTGATGGCCATTTGCTTCATGTTGTTCAGGTAGTCACTCCTGAAGGGCAATCACTGAGTCTGGTTCACTCCAGGTGATCACTCATGGTTACTCACTAGGACTTCTTTCAAGTGAACATATGTGTAATTTTTGGAGTGCGGGTCACCCAATGTCTTTGGGAACATGGTAGAGCGTGGGTCAGTCTCTAGAACTTGGATCAATTATTGTGGGGGGGGGAGGGGTCAGTCACTCAT